TATATATATATATATTATATATATATAATATATATATGTATATATATATATATATATATATATATATTTGTGTGTGTGTGTGTGTGTGTGTGTATTTGTGTACAGTTACTGCCTCTGCACATCTGTCCGTCAAACAGCGCCTCAGTATACAACTCATCTCCTTCTTGCAGCAGCAGCAGCAGCAGCAGCAGCAGCAGCAGCAGCAGCAGCAGCAGTGGGGGAGATATTTATATGGATCTCTTTGAGGCAGTAGAGAGACAGCCGGATGCTTCTATAAAGTTATTAAACTTAGCCAGAGAGTGGATACACTCCCTGCTGCCGCATGCACTCCAAAAAACTAACAGAGTCAAGTATACACACTCACACACACACTGTCTCCTCAACTGTCTCCTCAGCTGCTGTCTCCTCACCTGTCTCCTCAGCTGTCTCCTCAGCTGCTGTATCCTTAGCTGCTGTCTCCTCAGCTGCTGTCTCCTCAGCTGTCTCTTCTGCTGTCTCCTCACCTGCTGTCTCCTCATCTGCTGTCTCCTCACCTGCTGTCTCTTCTGCTGTCTCCTCACCTTCTGTCTCCTCAGCTGTCTGCTCACCTTCTGTCTCCTCAGCTCTCTCCTCAGCTGTCTCTGTCTCTATCTCCTGTCTTCCCATTTCTTTTTTTGTCTCCTCCCATGCTGTCTCCTCACCTGTCTCTATCTATCTACTGTCTCCTTCTCTGTTTATATTTCTCTGCTTCAGCTGTCTCCTCTCTACTGTCTCCTCATCATTATATCTATTCCAACTGTCTCCTCCCCTTGCTACTATACTTGCTGTTGCTGTTGCTGCTGCTGCTGCTGCTGTCGTTGCTTCTGTTGCTGCTGGTGATACCGTTACTGCTATTACTGCTGCTGTTACTGCTGCTGCTGCTGCTGCTGCTGCTGCTGCTGCTGTGTGTTGCGTGTCAGTTACGGTTTGATGACTCGCGAGGAGATAGAGGAGCATATGCAGCAGCAGCAGCAGCAGCAGCAGCCGTCAATGTCTGTATCTCGTCAGCTGCTAGCTGTCCCCTTTGCAGGCAAAGACACTCCATCTGTCTCCTCGGAGTTCTCTCACCCAGATGTACTGATAGGCCTTACAATTCTTTCTTATAGATACCAGGGTCTCCGTGTCGATGATTTTTACTGTCTCCTTAGGGACCAAATAAATAGACTAGAGACAGCAGCAGGACCTGCTGCAGCAACACCAGCAGCAGCAGAATTTGCTTCCTGGGTATGGGCTGCAGGGGGCAGGGTCAGGGGCCTTCACAAGCAGACACAACGCGCAGACAGATGGATACAAGAATTAAAAACACTTGCTGCTGAAGCCACACACCAGCAGCAGCAGCAGCAGCAGCAGCAGCAGCAGCAGCAGCGGCAGCAGCAGCAAGGTGTAAGTAGCTGGGGCTACGGCGGCGTGGGAACGAAGCAAAACGGCGAGCTGTCTTCATCCCCACCAGCACCACCAGCAGCTGCAGCACCACCACCAGCACCACCAGCACCACCAGCAGCAACAGCAGCAACAGCAGCAGCAGCAGCAGCAGGAGCAGCAGCAGCAGGAGGAGAGGAGAGGTGTGAGGAGATGCATGAGAAGATATATCCTTTGGAGATGTTAAGTTTGAGTGATGAGGATCATTTGGGGTGTCTATACAGCTTAATAAGAAGAGAAGCACTAGCAATAGGTGCATATTTATTTCGCATTATATTCCCTTTTATATTAAAACATTCATTGTTTCAGTTGTCTGCATCAGGACAAGAGATAGGAGGAGACAGTCTCTTTTCTATTCGTTTGGGTTTCTCCGGCACACCATCAGAGCTGCTGCCGCATGCAATGGGGCCCTGTTTCTATGAAAAGGGGACAGATGGCCGCGTGCTGCAGCTGCTGTCTTCACCGAGTGTTGTGTCTTATGAGATATTACCTCAAGTGTGGGGTGTGTCTTCGTTGTTGAGTTATATAGCAAAATATAAAAGACAACGCATGCATGCATTGATAGATACTGGGGCCCTCATATGTAATATAAGCAACTACAACGTTGCTCGTATTCTTCTCTCTCAGGGGCTCAAACATATCGATGGTGTTGTCTTTCTAGATAACAAAGACAAACAAAAAATTTTATTAAGACAAGGATGGAGACTCCTGCAACTTGCTGAGTGTGGACTGTCTCCAGATAAACGCTTCTCCTTCTATGATCATGTTCATACCACCGGGCAGGTATGGATATATATATATATAGATGTATATTTATATATATATGTATATATATATATATATATATATATATATATATATATATATATATATATATA